ACCATGATTGTAGAGGTGCCATTAGTTTAATTATATAATATATTTGAAATTGAAGAATTTATGAAATTGTAACGTTCTACAATGCATTGAACTTCCATTTTGATATATTCCTAATTTTTATTTTTTTTAAAAATAAAGATGGTTATTTTTTATCACATCAATACAGTTACACAGGAAATAGTAACTTCATATACTTAATGTGTACTACCTAATACTTAATATTAATGTACTTTTTAACACGAATATAATGCACATGATAAATATACAACATATGATGTGACATCGTACAATTTATACATATATTTTTAATTTCTCAAAGTGTATGATTTGATTTTATTAGAATTTATGGTATGATGGATACTTTATTAAATTTGCTGCGTTAAATATTAGATTGATATTACATTAATTATTAGGACATTGATGCTACAACATTGTATGTTTTACATAAATAAATCATTGACTACTGTATCTTGAAATAATCCTATAAGTATACATGTATTGAATGTTTTTGCTTTGTCCATATGGATGTTAATTTATCGAAATTATAATGCCATATTATGTGTGAAAAATTGGAGGCGGTTGCAAATAATAATAGTCATGAAAATATATGGAACACATTAAAATATCGCAATAAATGCATTAACAAGGAACTTTTTAGCAATATCTATAGAAACTTAAAATATTTAAACGCTATTACTAAAACAGAGGAACGCAGAAAAAGATATTAAAATTAGAGATGTTAAATTTATGGAAAAATAAAAGAAATTATTATAATAAAGCTGGGAATTAATGTTTTGGATGTTATAAAAGAATTATAAAAATGTTCATAAGATAGTAATTAAAAAGATGACATCAAATAAATGGTTGTAAACTTCCTCTTCTCAGGAATGATTCTAATCATCTAGAATGTTTAATAAAACATAAACAGTTGAGCAATTATTTTAAAAGCATTTATATTTTTAAGAATGTTATTAAATGAGAAAAAGTTGTTCTAAAGAAATATTCAGATTATCTGAAGCATAGTACTAATTTTTATATAGGGCATGATGGTTGATGTCATCATGGAAAATGGTATAATGATTATCCACATTATTTTATTTGTTTTGCGTCTCATCAGAAGGGCAATATACTAGAAAAATTAAAATGCACTTATCAAAAGCTTTCTGAAAACATCCACGAAATAGCTAAAGAACATGTTGTCAATCCAGCAGCAGGTTATGATAGTTTCTAAAATATAAATGTCAAATGGCATAAATGTACTAAAGTAATTAATATTGCAACAATCGATATATTATTTTAGAATGTTATCGATGTAAGTAATATTTTAGGAATGAAGCATGATATATTTAAGTCACATTATTTTCGTATTGAACTTGTAGTTTCTTCCATATTAGGAAAAGTTCAGGTTTTATCCCTATGCATTAAAGAAAGTAAAACTATAGCTTTAAAACATAAATTTATAATATTAATATTTATATCCTTTTTTAAATGAATAATTAAAGTACAAAATAGATTATACACATTTTTTAATTTTATATTAATCTGTCTGATCTGTAAATGGGTTAAGAAGAAAAGAAGAAAAAAAAAAAAAAAAAAAAAATACAATAATGATATTTAAGGAAAACACATAAAACATTTGTCAATAGAGGATTTTGAGTTTGTAGATATAAATTCCTTTAAAAATGTGTTTTATATGAATTTCCATTTTGCATGAACATCAATGAGTTCTGTTTATATTTTATGAGAAATGAGGCAAGGAAAGTAATAATAGGAAAAAATATACATGTGATTTTGCTAGTAATGGTTAATGTTGAGAGTGAAAGAACAATATAATAATAATTAAACAAAGAAGATATTCCATAGAAAAAATTAAATACGGTATAATTAAAAAGGGACTACATATAAAAATTTAAGATTGCTAAGGAAATGTTAAAGTTTGTGGACTTAAAAATAATTGCACAAAACAGTTGCGTGAACATTCATATTGTTTAATAGTAGTCAATTAACATTAAATTCAAATCGACAATTTTAATACTGAAAATATTACACATTAGGAATGTGATAAAAGAGAGACAACATTACAGATAATAAAGTTTAAAAGAGGGGATATGCATTAATTAAATTGTGAATGATAGAATGTCTAAATAAACATTGATGTATATATAATAATAAGGAACATAAATATCTTATATGTAAAAATTTGTATATGACATATATATTTATGTTAAATGGGGTAAAATCCATTTCTAACATATGTGTAAACAGTTTTTGAATAATTTGAAGAAAAATATTAAAAATTTAGCAAAATCGAAAAAGTAGACATTTCTATCAAATAACTCCTTAGGAATAATTTTATGAACTAGAAATAATAATGTAAAAAATCGCTTTTTTTGTGCATCAAAATATAGGTATTTATACGTCATTTATGCTTTATATATATATATATATATATAAAATTATAACATATTAAATTTTTGCATTATTTTATTTTATTTTATTTTTTTTTTGACTATGGAGAGCTTTCTTTGCACTACATGCCTTAATTGGTGGGGAAAAAAAATGTTTCTTTCTTATAGAACAGCATTAATAATACTTGTATAAGCACATTTCTATTTTACAAAGAAATTTAACATTTAGTTTTTTTTGTAACATATCATTTGTTACAATTAAAAACAATAATTGTTTTATTACAATTGCGCTTGCCTTATAATATAGAAGAATAATTTTACATGTCTAAATTTAAATATATATTATAAAAAATAAAATTATTAACATATAAGCACATGTGGCTTAATATCAAATATAAAAAGTTGAATTATTAGTAGAAAAGAGGTGTAATAACTTTACATATATATACACATTAGTACAAAAACTTTTTTCTTCATAACTTAAAAAAAAACTATTAATTTTATATTCTTATGTTCTTAAAATGAGAGAAATTATGCAGCATATTACTGTATCACTAAACTTCAAAGCTTAATACATTAATTAGAACAACTTATATATTTAATACCTTTTAGTTAATCTACATAATTGTGTTCCCATTACTGTAAACCTAAATAATTTATTCAAAATTTAATTGTATAAATTATAATATATGTTGTAGCATATTTAAACCATTTAAACAGTGTGTAAAAAGACGCATTATTGTATTCAACTGCATAAGGCGTGTTTACATTGTGAATAATTTCTTTATGATTTATTAAAGTTGCTTTACTATACATATATACTAAAAAATTGTTGATTCACGCTAAATTATTGCATATGGATGTAATGGCAAAAATAACACTATTAACAATTTTTTCTAGATTGTTATGCAATTAGTATGCTAATATTTAGGTAAGATATATATACGCGGTATTAAATAATTAATTTTTTCTATTTCCCCTATGCTTTATGTAACTTGTTTTGTATTTTTATTGATATTTACACCTAGCAGCTGTGCAACACTTTTATTTGTGCTACATATTTTGTAGGGGTTACACAAATGCAATATGAAATTATGCAACTTGAACAAAATAAACTGAACTATAAAATAATTGGATCATGTAAAAAAAAAAATAAATAATAATAAATAAAAAAATAAATTAATTTTATGAATACAGCCAAAATAACTAGAAATAATACAATTAAAAAGTATTAACAAAAAAATTTTATAGTAAGAATTTAAATTAAAAAATTATTGCTTGAAAAATAATATACACATTTTTTGGTTTTTGTTATGGAGTAGCCATATATATGTGTTGTAATTCAAAAATCGTAACAACTAAGATGCAAAACAATGTTAAATTATATTTCAATTTTATCGAACAATCAGTAGGGGGTGAGAAAAAAACAAAAAAACATATATATATATTAATTACACGTTATATTATTTTTTCACAACATCATAAAAAAAATATTCAGGATTCTATAATTATTTTTTACTATAGATCAACATTTAATTGTAAAAAATTTTCAATTCCTGAATAAATATATTAACAACATTAAACATAAAATTTACACAAATTCGGAAAAACTATACAAATCTTTAAATTAATGAATATCTATTTAAACAGTAGGACCATGAACTACATATAAGTTCTTTGGAAGAAATTATATGAACCCACGTAAAATTTTCTAAAATTTTCTCATTCATTTATTGTTGAAAATTCAGTATATATATAATTCTTCGAAATCTAAAAATGTGTATTAATTAAATGAATAATAGCTTAAAATGAATTTTAGTAGAGAAAAATATTTAGCATATTAATTAAACCTATATAATAAAATAGGTGTGAATGAATTTCTTTCACCGTTGTGCAAACACAGAATATGCATCCCTATTTAAACAACAAATTTTCGTGTTGCCAAGTAATTTTTAATATTAAAATGTGGTATTACACCTCTAGTAGTATATACATATATATTTAGCAACGTATTATTAGTGTATAAAAATACGCATATACAAAAATTATAAAATAATAGGGAATAAAATTGAAAGGCACTAACAGTTTGTAGGATTCTACATGTGTTGTTTGTAACATTGATTTTACATATGATGAAATATAAAAATAAATACCTTAAAATTTGAATAATGAATTTAAATAATATAAAAATGTTTTTAAGTATAATAAGTGTATTCTTTTTTGTAATTATTATTTTCTGTTAAAAATTAATAAAAAGAGTTTTATTTGTGTAATATAAAATAATTAATTTATATTTTTTTAACATTTTCAGTGAGATTTAAAAAGTAATAGTTTCTTTTAAATCTAATTGTTAAAATATATTGCATGCGATAATTTTATTAAATTATTTTTATTCAAATTTTTATTTTAGTGTAGTGTAATAGAATTTGTTTCATTTATATATAACACATGTATGTATATATATATTTATTTATTTAATACGTTTAAAATACCATAAATGGAGAACTATGAGGACAAATAAAAATAATTTAAAGAACGTCCGCTCACTACTGACAGTGTAAAAGACTATGTGATATTCTATTAATTGTAGTCATGAGAATATTGCTAATGTGTAACATGGGGGCGAAATCTAAAATAATATACTTTATTAACATTTGCACCTTCACTTTTTTAATGTGTGCATTATGGGTTTATTACAATGATGAGGTATTACAATAAAAGTGTTCAGTAACTATTTTTTATGATATTTTCCTTAACTTATTTTTTGAAACTATAGCATTTCAGTAAGTAAATAATAAATCATTTTACAAATAAATAAATTGTTTTTTTTTTAGAATATTTTTTCTAATTCAGTTAATAAAGAGCACAAGATAGCTAATGTAACATATTTTATAAGATCACGTCTATTAGCAGCATACATGGATAGCCATTTTGATTCTTTAAGGTTTAGACAATTTTGGGTTAATCACGATGCGGAAAGAAAATTAGCCCATAGAAACGAATATAAGTTAGCAAAAAACATTAGAATGGAATTAGCAAACAATGTTAAAATGAAGACATCAAATAATATTAAAACACAATTAAAAGAAAAAAAAGTAAAAGAGTATTCTAATTTATTTAAAGAAACATACCCACGTCGAAAAAAAAAAAAAAAATCCCTAGCTTATGTAATTTTTAAAAAGATAGATAAGTATTTTGAAAAAAGGGTATATAAAAATTTTATATATATAAGGAACCTTCAGAAAGATCCTACTATTAAAAAAAGTAGGTTAATAAAAATACTATTTAGAAGATATCGCTTCTTTTTGATTATGCCATTTGTAATGAAAACGTTTGGATTAATAATATTTATAATACGTGCATCAGTAAATTTGAATTCCACCCCAATCATAAAAACCATTTTGCTTACAATGAACGCATTAGTTTCACATGTTTTAAGTATCATCTCTATTATATGCCTCATTTATATAATTGTAAAAAGAGTACAATTTGATGGGTCATCAAAAAATAAGAAAAACTATTGTTATATGTGTAACGGTTACGTATAGAATGCACTTTTTTACAAAATTATATAAATATTACGATGAAGAATATTCCTTACGAGATAATTAAGTTCCACATTATTTCATCATTTTAAATTGACTTCAAAAAGTGTAACACACATGTTAGATGAAATAAATGAATATATATATATATATATGTATTTTTGATATAATACGTTTTTTTTTATCGTATTTGGAACAATGGTTTACTATAATTTTTCCGATTAAGTTACATATACTTTTTTTTGGTGTATACTTGTATGAAGATAAATTGCACAGGCATTAAAATAGCACATGAGTGAATTGTTTGAACCGCGCCAAGGAACTGTTAAGTTTACATTTTTAACTTTACAAAGAGGAAGTTATTATCTTTTTTTTTTAGATTCTTTGTTTTCATGTTTTCATCTGCACAATATATTCATTCTTGGATTAGGTAAATGTTTGACATTTTTATCAAATTAAGTTAAAAAAAATTTTTTTTTTTAAGTGATAACATAAAATAAACTTTCATTCTATTACTAAAAGCGTAATTTTACTAATATTTTTTACAATTAGTAATTGTCGTACACATAGCATTGTGTATACTTGATATAGTAAAATAAAAAATGTCTGCCTTTTTTTTTTTTTTTAATGTAGAAAAATTAAAATATTATGACAATATTTTCAAGCATTAATACTTTTACTGTTAAAAATATGAACTTTTTATAATTAAAGATATCTGTTATTTAATCTGAACACAACATTCGTCTTATGTTTATTCACGTTATTCTTGTTTTTTTTTTTTTTTTTTTCATTTATAAAATTATACATTTGTATAAATGATATATAACAAGAAATAATTATAACTAAAGAAAATGTATCCTATTTGTTGTTTAACAACAGAAATAATATTAACCATGTACACATTTTATAGCTTATATCAACTATAGAATGTGAAATGTGTAAATTCTTATTATTAATAATAAAATGTCTTGTGTAAAGTAATTTTTTAGCTGTTATTTACTTATTAATTTATTGATATATTACCCTTGGGGGATAGAAAAAAGGATACTCCCATATTCACAAATGGTTAAAGGAATGTATCAATCCCAATATATGACGTTATTTATGAAAACATTATATATAATGATAGATGTTTTGAGAAGGTATTCAATAGTGGACCTATGATTTGTAACATACATATATATATATATATATATATATATATATATATAAATTATGTAAACAGAATATTTAAGGTATCTTATTGCCTTGTATGAAATTTTCACGTTACAGTTATAGACAATACCTAAACATTTAGAAAACTATTGAAGAGTGCAAAAGTTGATTTACATATATAGTGTTATTCAGTAAATGTGAACAAATAAAAAGACTGTATATATATAGTTCGGCAAAAAGTGTGAAATATCGCAATGATTCAGCATAACGAATGCACAAATGCTTACAGTTACGACCAGATTGTAAAATTGGCATCTCAGTTTTAGACTCATTTTAAATAATTAATCATATATATATATATATATAATATAATATAACTGCATACTCATAAGAAATATTTGTTTATGTTTTCGTTTTTCTATTCATATGTGTGTACATATATCAATAATGTAATATTATATTTTATGCTTTAGATTATAATGAAGTATTTTGTTGAAATAACATACATTTTCTTTTATTTGCTAAAAACATATAAGACATTAATGTCCAATTCTTTGTTTTACACTTGTGGATCTTATTTGTTACACTATATTTATAGCGAATAAACAAAAATTAATTTAAAACGCATTAATTATGTGTAAAATTAAAGGATTTAAAAATTAGCAGATTAGGTAGTATAAAAAAGGGAAAGAATTATAGAACTTTTTATATAGTGTAATGTTGATATATACAATATGCACAACCATGTTAATAAGAAATTTAAATATTAATGGTTTTTAAATTATTGAGTATAAGAAAAAGTAAATAAATGGATATAAAGAATGTCATTTTAAATCATCCATAAAAAAAATTGTTATTTTTAAGAAATACTTCAATTATAACTAATGAATATTTGTTTATAATGTTTCTTTTCTCCTATATATAATGTATACATTACCTTATTTGAATCGTTGTATATAGATTTCTTAGAATAATTCAGAAAATTATATTTAAGGGGAGCAAACCCATTCCCTTTAAAAATTCCGTCAACTTTTTATATATCTTTTATATAGATATAAGCTTTAATTATTCTTGAATAATGTGTCTCATTCATTTTTATGCATAACAGAAACATATATTCTATATACTAGCTATTTTTTTTTTTTTTTTTTTCTCATTAGTGTTTCCGAGTATATCTACACTTTCTATAAAATCATAAAGGACTAAAAAATAGTTTAATTTCTTTTTGTTTTTCAATTCTTCTATATTGATGCGTCTACAAAAGTTTGTTTCCCATTTAACATTTTTGTTTTTACTAAAATTACGATTTTAATAAAGAATCTACATTCCGTTGTAAAACTATTTAGAATGCATATAGAATAATAATTACTTTTTCAAATATTTTCGTATATGTAATAGTATAAATGAATGTATCAATTATTGTTCACAAGATCATTTTTCACTAAACACGTAATATTCAGTAGTTTTAATATAATTTCCGTTTTGCAACAAAGATCTGCAATTATCTTGTCAAAATTAACAGCATTTTTATGATTACAACATTTTGACATGTGTATGAATAATTAGATTCATTATTTTCTTGATTAAATATTCAGCACACTAAATGTACTTTAGATTTGTTGGAAACCTTATTCCATGAATAAAATAAGACATAAAAAATTACCAAATATTCCTGTGCTGCGTTTAGCGATTTGTTCTTTTTTCCTCATTCAAGCATTAAAATACATATGCCAAAATAGATAAAGAGTTATTTTTCAAAAAAATTATTGCTTATTACAACCTACAGAAATTCAAGGATTTTATGGACAATGCCATCATTCATATTAACAAAATATAAATACTTATGATAATGTCAGAATTTATAAAAACGAAGTAACAATGAGTAGTTCACACATAAACTAATAACATCAACTAATATGAAAAATTAAGCATATATTTCTTAGTAAGAGTAATTCGATAATAACAATCTGTTAATTTAACATTTAAGTGTGATTAGTACCTAAAAAACTAAAAAATTTTTACTTAAAAGCAAATAAAGTGAATACATGAATTGTAAAAGCATGTGGAAATTTCAATATTATATGAGAAATTTTTAATTTGTATCCCTTTGTTTTACACATCTATAACATAATTTCATTAATGGGATATATAATTGAGTACATAAATTTTTTGTTTAATTCAGTATAAATGTATTTTTGTGTAAGGTATTTATTCATGCGATTTGTTTATTTGAGCAAATTTACATGAAATTTTTGGATCAGTAGAGACTACTACTTTATGTAAAGATATGAGGATATCTTACTTAGAATTACATTTTTATAATTATTGTAAAAAGATATTTTTTAACAGTATTATATATGATAATTATTATCAAAAAATAATCTATGTATAACAAATTTTCATTTGCATAAGTGAAATTAAAATATAACTTAAGGTTGAAATAATGTGGCTTTAAATATGTGGTTATTAGTTAATGTGTTGGTGTTATAATTTTTTTTTCTTCAATTTCAATTGTGCTACATAAAAATATTGTTTTTTCCCTTTTATTCGTTGAAACACTGTCTCTTTTGGTGCACACTAAAAACAAGCTATCTTCATGACTACCTTTAAGTTGTTGCTTTGTGTTTACAATATATATACACATTTGTGCTAATACTATTACATGTGCCAATGGACCGAAAAAATAAGACTAATTATGTTGCAAAAAAATAAGATAGATATGACGAAGTATATTTATTATATAATTTGATAAATGCATAATTCTTTAACAATGTACATATGACATCGTATTTTTAAAAATGTTAAAATTCATTTACAATTATGTGTTAATTATTTATACATAATTAAATCATTTTCATATAGAAAAATTTATACATTTTACTCGTTTTTTTGATATTCCTTCAATATAATTTTATTTTATAATATTATAGTAAAATAACATGTATTTTTTTGTTTTTAAGTCTGCTTGAGGAGAAGTGCGTGTATCTCCATTTTATGTGAAATATTTCGTGTTATTACATGTCAACTGGGTAAATTTACAATTATATTTTGTAACATAAAGAATTTATGTATATCATTTATTACAGTATATCTTTAAAAAATTTATCTCTTCACATTACATATTAAGTACTTTACATAAAATAATATGTTATGATGCAAATACGGTTAGATGTATTTTTGTTTGAGCTACTAGAATTAGACACTATTAAATTATTTGCTTCATCACACCTTTTCTACTTCTTAATTAATCGAGGGTGTATGAATGAGAAAAATGGAATAAATCAGAACTTTTAAAAAAAAAATATATATAACATAAATATATTTTTAATATACAAGCTAAAACTGTAATAGAATATAAGCCATGCATCATCTAAATAGAATATTTACCTTGTACATATTAAATAAACTAAATAGTATTAAATAACATCATAGTAAATGAAATTATAGACACAACTAAAATATTACATCCAAAGACAAATAACTGATTATTGTGGTTCACCAATGCACGTTATTTTTATCATAATATTTTCATAAATGTTCTCAAAATTATTTAGATCAGTACAGAAATTACTTTGTTACATTTACAGGGCATTTATTTATTTGATTCCTACACATCACAAAAAGTTTTACCTTAATCGAAACTGTTATTTTAGAGTGATTAGTAAAATATATTTTAAAATTATTTTTTACAACTGTAAAATTTTCATACGTTTTTACTAATTCTCTATTAAACTTTATGTAATTGTTAGATATTTCCCAAATTGTACAATTTACAAACGCTTCCTACCATTTTTTATAAAATGTTAAATTGTTGGAATTCCTATTTTTCAAAAAATCTTTTTATAGTCAGTAATAATGGTACCTAAATGTAGAAGCCACATGAAGGTTGTTAAGGCATATGAATTATAATTCAATAAATATAGCACAAAATTACAATTTTTTTAAGAAAATACCTGTTATTATTTTCACATATTAAGCATGTTTTCATATATGATCTCTAATAGCTGAATGTGTAGAACTAATGAGAATAGGAAGTGTTTGTAACGCCCTTATCACATATTTTTTTGAATTTATAAAACAAAGTAAAAAACATTTTGCCGCACTAGAGTTTCGTTTTAGAATGTTTATCAAAAATACCTTTTTTAGCGAAGTTTTTTTATAGTTGTTGCATTCTATTTTTGCAATTGTAATTACGATAAATAACCTTTTCATAGTGAGTCATTTTCTTCTATTGATTCGTAGAATTCTTAGCATAATTTAGAAAATAGATCGATGTAAGCATTTATGAATGCAATAATTATTAAATAATATATTTGTGCCATCATGTACTTTCGTTATACCCTTAATTTTCATTTCTAATTCATATAAAACATATTTAAGGGTGTGAATAATTCGCTTGTTGTCATTTACAAAGACAATTAAAAACTATGCACCCTGTATTTAGAATTTCATATTTCCATAAAAACTGTGCATTGATTAAGTTTCATCTAGCCTAATTTTTGATGCATTTGGTATAAATTCGTTCATTAAGTATTTCCTAATCATCACAACTTCATCAGATGATTGGCCAGAATCTATAATCACCTCACAATGTGTCATTATCGTTTCCCCATTTTTCTTATTTCATTTTCGCTATGCGTAACAATTAATACTCTTTTAGCTTAATTCATAAATATAATCTACTGAACGTATTCTCTTGTTCATTATATGTCTTTATTTATTTTCCTATATGGTAATTCTTTATATCCTTTCAACATTCAACATTTACAGAACGTGTCATATTGTCATCATTTAATGAGTACATTAAAACATTGGACACGCGAAATATATATATATATTTGCATTATATCATACAATGGGATCTTTTATTACCCCCCACTTTTTTACAACGTTCTCATTATGTGAGGAGTTCATATATAACATTTCGCTTAATTCATATTCATTGGTCATTCATTTTTGATATAAAATAATATTTTACACATTTTTCGTGTAAATATATAGTATTTTTTTTTTTTTTTTTTTATAATTATTTATCGTGGAGATAAAAATATTTCCTTCATATACATTTTGCTTGTTAAGGAACATTCAATTTATATGTAATGATAAACTAATTTTAATTTTTCTCCATAATAATATAATTTTAACAAATTCGTAATAGTAGAAATTATAAAATAAATTATTTCTAGTGTGCTATATTTATGGTGAAAAAAAAAAAATTTAACACCTTAAGAGCGAAATGAATGTTGAATTAGTCATATAAATTTTCCCATAAGATATGTAATATTCCTTTTTATCACATAATAGGTATTTTCATGAATAAATTATAATATTAGGTTCATCTAAAATTTATAAAATTTGGAAGTTATGTGATCTTACAGATTTAAGATAGTAACTATTTATTAATTTTTTTAAAGTTTAACAATGAATAAATTATTTATCCTATATGACAGTGCTTATGGAAATAACACATATTTTTACATTAAATTTTTATGATGCACCCACGCGATATGTTATTAGATGCATAAATATATCATTTGTTTTTTAATGAACAATTCAGCCAACATAAAAAAGAATTATAAGGTGAAAATTATACCGGTAACATTTTGCACTCAATTAGAAATAACAATTTTTGTGTGCATATTCTTTTTTTTTTTTTTTTTTTATAGCACGGGAAATTATAATGTAAGAATTTTTTACTACGCTTTCGAGACGCTTTATTTCTAAGTTTGACAGAACACAATTTTAATTCATGTAATATTCATTAAAAAAAAAAAAAAAAAAGGATGGCAAAAAGTTGCAACTACTAATTTTATCATGAATAATAGCATAAGATAAAAAAAATAAATAAATAATAATTATATTACAATATTAACATTTTTTGATTATTTTTAATTTATTACATTTTTAAACATATATATTTTTTTACCTAAAATGTGAAAATATATTAAAAGTGTAACAAATGTAAACTCATTATATATATTATTGATGATCCTAGATTTTACATTACTTTATATATATGAATAAAATTATCTTAATAGCAGAGAAGCAAGTTTCCGCCATAGAACAAAATCATTCTTAATATATCTATATATATTTAAGTTATTAATAAATAGATAAATAAATGTATATGGATATATATATACAATTATAAAATTCATTCATCCTGCTTAATAGGCTAAGGTTAATATATATATATTACATTAAACTCTTCAATACATATTGCGTATCAAATTTAAACATTATTGTTGAATATTACAATCGTGTATGCTAATAACCTCCAATCATTTTATGTAAAAAAAAAAATTACCAAGAGTGAAGCATACATATGGAAATAAGGCTAATGCATATTAATCCTAAGAAAATAAACAGAAACTAGGAACCAAAGAAATATAAATATTTCAAGGTATAAATATTACAAGCATGAGTTATAGATGAAAACATATATAATTATAGTATGTGCATATTAAGTAAATTTTTTCTATTTATACAATTTGTTACATAGAATATGTTATATATGCATTTTTACAAATTATTTTAATATTCTAAAATTATACCTGTGTGTAATGATATATCAGTAGTTTAACTATATTAAAATGAAATAAATTAACTTGTATAATTTTCTAATTTTATGGTATTTTAAATGTGAAATTAACAATTCTTATATGTTTATGGAACAAAAATGTAATTATATTCATTTTCGTTCGATTGTATTTATAATCCCAAAATGCCTGTTTTCATTCTTTTAGTAAACAACACACATGCAATGTCCTATATATAGATGATTATTTATAAGTAATAAATAACTTAAAAAATAAATTTACAACTATTTTAACATTATGTTTGCTATATTTAATAATGAACAAATATAATATGAATACATTATTTTTATATAATACAATTTATATGTATAGGTTAAAATTTAGTTTTGTTTTTTTTTTTACATTTTTATTTTAACGTATTTATTAAATAAAATAAATATAAATTAGAAAGTCTTTATAAGATCATCTTTATTAAAGTTCATGTATACAAGATTTAAATATTGAACACTGTTTGCATTGTATTTTATAAGTATAAATTTTTTAATTTATGAATGTACACTTCATTTAAATTATTTTAAAATATAATGCTAATGGAATAGCGACATATAAAATATATAATAAATATTGTTCTATTCTCATATATTACTTATTAGAACTGCTATTTATATATATTTTTTTTTTACAGTATTAAGTATTTATACCATGAAGGGAAATATTAAGACCACGCTTTTTGTTAAAATTTTTACATATATCATTTTAACATACACATGCCACTATAAGAATAATGAGGTATTACATTAATATGTATGAATAGATTTATATTTAAATAGAATTATTATTACGTAAAATGCATACACTTTTGTTATAAAGGCATTTACTTTATTAAACAATAATTTCATCCATGTTTTATTTAGCTAACATCTGGTAATTACTTTGATAAGAGATACAATATTGATAAAACATTAAACATAAGAAATAAACGTTTATTGTCAAAATATGATTTTCAAAGCGAAACGAGGTATCCACCGTCAAGTGGTTATTTGACTTCGGATGCTAGTAGTAGAACATTAAACAATGAAGAAAAACCCATGTTAAAAAACAAAAAGGGAAAATATTATGGACATTACATACGTCATTATGGTAGCGGAAGTGGGAACCCAATATGTGTTTTACGTAAAGGCATAAAACAAATTGATAATAACATTGAAAAAAAAGTGTTCAATTATCTTGGAAAAGAGAGTGAATATGAAGAAAACAATAAAGTTATGAATAAAAAATATAAAAGAACCATTTTCAAAAAGTATGATATATATGTATTTTGGGGCTATGTCTTGCCATTATTTGTAACAACCACTATTATGTTGTTAGATTTTTCACTACGAATTAAAAATGGATCTTATATTTTTGGTGCATTTGTAAAAAATTTAAGTACTCATACGTATATTTTAATATTATTTTTAACATACGTTATTTGTGCATTAGTATTTTGTTATTTGGGTTACAAAATTGAAAAATATACAAGAGTTAGACGCACGTAAGGTGAAGAAGACAATGTATTATTATATTTGTGAAGAAGTTTTTCATATGAAATAAAGAACTGCAGTTATCATTATTGTTACACTTTTTTTATAAACATTCTTGTAATTTTTTAAATTATACATGATCATTAGTATAAAAATTCGAATATTGAAGAATTAAAAATATTTGTATAAATGATAATACGTACATTATTCTATTAGAAATATTCATGTGTACTATATGTTAATATTGGGGAGTAATTTAATATTGCGACTCATAATAAACTACATACATATTTTTGTTACTCATTCTTTTATCTAAAAAAAAAAGTTATTTAGTTAATTAACTAATATATGCACCTAAATTCAAATATTTTGTTTAAAAAATCATATTTATGTAAATTGTATGCATTATACATATGTTTGTATATTATAATTCATATTTACCTGTATAAACAGGATTGTTATGTTGGATAATCTCAAATCATTTATATTTGTGGCGAGCATTGTTGATGTATATATATTTGTTTTTTGTGTTAAATATTAGTTAATATAATTAATGTTTATTTCAGCCATTTAAAAATTTTGTATATATGTTTTTATAGAATTAATTATCGCTGTTTGTTTCATATCTAAAAACAAATTAAATATATGATTTTTATGAATTACAAGTGATAATTTGTATTTAAAACTTATTTGGAATTAAATATATTGTAATAAAAAATTTACAGAGAATGTATATTTTAAAATATAACCGAAAACTTGTGCAGTAAAAAATTTATTATATCGTTTTACTGATTTAAAATTTTAAGGATTTATATATAAAGGAACACATAATGATGACTTACTTGTATTATTTGATAAATAAAAATGTTGGTATCTTGAAAAATATTATTACAAATTATTAAAAATGTGTAACATAGAAATATAGCAAATGAATAAAATAATTACTGTTACATATGTCTTTAATATGGGAAAATTTTTATTTAAGCAAAACTTTTATCTTATACGAAATATATTTAGTCTGTAGCGATCATCTTCGTGATCGCTCCACTTTTTTGTGTTTTTTAAATAATGTGTATTATAGAATAACATAATTTAATAGTAATATTCCTAATTAACCGCAATATTTTATGAGCTATATAAAATATTTTTAGTTATCTTTAGGAATGCACTATATTTTACTGTCTTTTTAATGAGGATTTAACATAATCATCATTACTTCGCAATCATAATTATGGATAGGATCTGAGTCTTATAAATTAATTGTATTCTGAATATGTATAAGAGCTTTTAAAAAAACAATACTTAATTATATAATTACTTTGAATTAAATAACCGTGGAAAATCTTTTATTAAGTGGTCATTTTGCATGGTTTTGCTTAAAAGATTTTTATGAGCTCTTTTGCAATATATAGATTATGAAACAAGAAAAATAATTACACATTCTGCTATTATATAAAACCATGGAAGCATGAATCGGTTATATACATATTATTCTTAAAAAGGATTCTCTCCTTTGTTTATTTTAAGAATTTTTATCAAAATACATTTAAATAATCTCTAAGAATTCAAAAAGAATTAAAATATTTTAAAAACAAAAAGTAATGTATTAAGTATTAAATGAATAAAATGAATTTAATTTAACAGTAAAATAAGTTTGGACAAAAATTTAGGAACTGTTTTTATTTTGAATTATGTGTTTGCTTTTTATGTAAAATGATAACATTAACAAATAAGTAAGCAGAATAATATATATATATGCTTTTATGCAAAAAGGTTAATTTTTAAACATACTGTAAAATCTGTAGCACAACTTTTTTATAAAATTTAATTGAACTGAATTCTCTCTTTTTTTATTATGGTTAGTTTACTTTTGCATTTCAATATTTGATTAAAACTTTTAAAAAATAATTGTTACATGTATTTTTATAATTTTGCAGAAATTATTTTTATAGAAAATAATATATAAAAATTATTTTTTTCTCTATTGTTAATAGTATTATTCCTTTAAAAAAAGTAGTTACACAAAGGTTGTTTTAGGGGAAAAGAGCTCCTTGTATTTATATATATATTTATGATTAATGAAAAAAATATACGTTCATATTACGGAAATAATATATAAAGCTGACTTTTAAATAACAAAGATATAATCACTAATTTTTTGAAATATATATTTCATATTTAATAAAATGGGAAATTTATTTGTACACTATCAACGAGTACTCAACATGTTTCTGAAATTTACTTCATGACTAGAAATTGTTCATATAAATTCTGGTTAAATATGGCAAAAAAAAATAAAAGGACACAAAAAATAAATCTATTAGGTATATAACGGAATTTAATCAAACCCTAGTAAATCCAATATAACAAGTTTTGAAAGTAGGTTTTTATCTCTATATAAATTTACTTATAAAAAATTAAGTATATATGTGTAAGAGTGTATCTTTTAATGGATAATAGGATTATTAAAAAAATTTTATTTCACAGTTAGGGATGATGCCTATATTAATGTTAAAAAGAAAAATAACATATTTAGACTTTGTTATTATGAATGTATTACTAGAAAATATATTAATTAATGCTTTATCATGTTACATCAAGCTACGTAACACAGCATTTTATATGGATTATATTATTCATAATTTCTAATTTATATTAAAAAATTAGAATACTACATTTTTGCGCTAACTATAGTATGCTATTAATTTTTAATATTAAAAACTAACACATGAATTGTTATAAGTAATAAAAAACGTTTAATTTTATCATTCACACGAAGAATTATTAAAAGTTTATTGTTTGTGCGTCATTACACTTGTTATAATGTTATACACATTCTATGTAATATGGTTATTCACTAAAGTTAACTATGCTAAGATAGAATGACTGGTTTAGAAAATTATGAATGGGTAATTTTTAAAATATTTTAAATATAACTAATATTTGAACGTCGTGCATGTTATACATTTATTGAAATGCACTGAGAAATAATTCTTGTTTTGAAATTTATTATTTTTTTGCAATGTAAATTAATTCTAATTAAATTTCAGGAGGATATATTAAAAGAGCTACCTTCGTATAAAAAATATAATGAATTGAATAGAGAAATAAATGAGGATGAACGTAATGATGATTGTGTATCGTTTACAGATGAGGATGGTAGTGCTAAAGAACTGTGTGAAAAAATGGCAAGGAATTTAAGGGAATTGGGAAAAATGGAAATTGGAGCCATTAGAACAGAGAAATGTTATTATTTGCAGCACTGGCTGTATTACAACACAAGGAAAATACTTAGTTTAGAAGAATATATACAGAGGAAAGATAATGTTAAATATAAACTTAGAGAAGTAGCGAAAAATGTTAATAATAATGCATTAAATTCTTCACCATGTGGATGTATTTTCGATGGTGAATTTATTGATTGGAAAGAAGAAAAAAATTTGCATGATTATTTTAAGAACTATGATTATATTAAGTGTGATGGCTCTGACAAAGGAAGATGTCAAACTTATATTGACTATGTTACTTATATTAATGAACTGTATAAAAAATATTATGATGAATATGGTGATTATGACTGCTGCTTTGGCTTAGATTACTGTAAAGCATATTTTAATTGTGATATCGAATATAACCCAAAGGATTTGCTATTGAAATTAAAAGAGACAAATGAAAAATTAAATGCATCCATTATTCCAGGGGATAAGGATTCAAGACATGCAGAGGATGAGCCATTTATTCTTTCACGTTCACAAAGTAGACCGTTGTATATGACAGATGAAGAAGGATTATCCATAAGCAAACATGACACGTTGGATAAAGAGACTACACCTATTTCTAGTTTCCTAGGAATTAAAAATAATGTACTGAAGACAAATAATTTTTATCGCTTTTTCTTCCTCACTTCAATATTGGGAACATCTTTATTTTTATATTTTTACTATAGAGTAATATAAAATTCAGTATTATCATATAAACAGTTAATGATAATATTTATAATTTATTTATATTTACTTTATAATAAAAATATACATATTATACATGTTTTACTCTTTTAAATTGTTTATTAGTCTACTTTAGAAGGATTTAGACCCAACAAAGGAGGAATAAAGAGGAAAAAATTTAATAATTATCATAATGACAATTTTGTACCTAAATTTCAACATCATAGTGTAGAAGGCGATTTATCAGATTCTCAAACGACTCAACTATATTTACCATATTAATCTAACTGTCAATGTTTTTATTTGTTAATCATACAATTTGAAATGTTTTATGAAGATAATAAGGGGTGTAAACAGCAGTATATTTATATATACCGTTATAAACCATATGAATAAAAAGAAAATATAAATGTATGCATTAATTTTGGTCTATTATTATAAATACGGTTACTTTTTGAAAGAAATATATCATAAGAAATGAAAAGTGATTACACTAAATAATAAATATAAACAAATCATATAATAAAAATGATTTTACTAAAACGTAATACTTATATCAGACAACCGCAACTAAAAGGGTTCACTTTAATTTAAGGAGAATAATGTTTTAGTAATTTATATTTAATATAGGTTTAGTGTTAATTTTAATTAATATAACGATTTATATATGATAATACAAATATGGAATATGCTCACATATTTGGAGGCACAATACGGAGAACCCGTAAATGATGATGGGAATATCCACATCAAAGATTCAACAAATGAATTTATAAATTATAAATTTAATTATATTTTTGTATACCTTTTTGTTATTTTTAATTTATAAACGTTACTTTAAATATATTTTTTGTTTTTTTTTTTTACCAAGATAATGTCAAATTATTATGTAGTCAGAAAAATGCTCTGTGCTGTAAGATTTATATCACTGATACATAAGTATAAAAGGCATGAATAACAAAACAAAAATGATAGATCCTATATATTTTAATGATGACATTTTTCGTTAAAAATTATTATGTCGCATGCTTACAAAATACGTTCTATTTTATATATATATATATAGTTATAAAAAGTCTATATAAGTTTACACGCAATGTTTTTTAAAAAAATGAGTAATATTATGATCATTATATACTTTTTTTATTTCCCTTAATTTTTAATTAAATTATAAATTCTTTGTTTTTTTAGATTTTATAAATTATTCTGTTAGCTATAATCATAAGATTAATTTTGTACCATATTTTTTAGTATTATGTGACTCGACTTTTTTTTTTGTTCTAACGGCCAAACTTTATATGAAGAGAGGTTAATATTATATTTAAATTACATGCAACATATAATAAAAATTTAAGCATTTCTTGTTATAGTGTAAAATCAGTTCATTAGTATTAAGTAAAGTGAACAATATTATAGCTTGTAAAAAAAAACTAAAGACATTAATAGTAGCAACGAATATAAAAATTTAAATAATTTATATATTTAGTAAAGTAAAATTATATTCGTATATGTTTATTATGTATTATAATAAATTAAGCGTGCCAATATATTTTCTAAAGAAGAAATAATATTAAAAAAGAGGTCGGTAAGATTTTACCCCTGAAAGAATCAATAAAATGTATTAACAAATTAGAAAATATTAAGAAAAATGTCTGTATTGTTCTTCATTATAGTAGAACATGAATCTTTTTGTAATGCAAAAGGCAATATAAAACAAAATTGATGAGATTGTGCAAAATTTTAATCTATTGAAAAATATTTAAAAGGTTAGAATTATTGAATTATTACTATAATTTATATGTAAGATATTTTTATTTGCTCTCATAGTAAATATTAGTAAAAATGTTTGAATCTAATTATCCATTATAATTAACACAAAATAAATTAAAAAATAATAATATTTGAATATACATAAGAAAGTGCGGTAAAAGGTATCAAATAAATAAATAATATATATGAAGAGCACCTCTACAAGTTCTTTATTGTTGGTATCATGAAACAAATGATATATTAAGCATAAAAGAGCAATTCTAAAACTTTTATAGTGATAAGGTATTATATAAGTGCTTTTTAATAAGGAATAAATAGTATATCATCCTATGAAATGATAGTATAATAATAATATAGGTATATTACGTTATTAAATTATAACACATGATTCACACAAATATTTATTGCAAACAAGTTAGAATAAATTATCTATTTTATATATAAATAGTTGTGTTGTAAGGATTTAATCAGGTATTATTTATCCACTTATTCTGTGTACAAACAATATTTAACACTCATGATAACACAAAATGGCAAGGTTTAAATTGCATTGTATATATATGAATTTATATTGTCCATAAAGCTTTTAAATAATGAGTTTAATAAAAAAAATACAAATTGATAACGTTATATTTGAGTGGGAAAGCAACACATATACACAATTTTGTACATATGTATATATATATAAATGTAGTATACGAATTTCACATTATAAAAAATATACATTATCATAAGCATGCACTAAAGGATACTATTTTTGAAAAATACTAATTTATATATATAGTGAGGAAATTATACTAATGTGTAAGTGCAGGAGTAGTGCAATTTAATGGAAGAACTGTTGGCGTAACGAATTGTATTATAATAAGAAAAATAAAATTTCTCTTGATTTATATACTTATAATTAATACATTAAAATGGAATATTTAAATGTATTTCTTCTTTTTTTTTTTTTTTTTCTTAGTGTAGAAGTGCTTATAACTAATGATTGTGTAGTTAATATCACAATAGAATCTTTGCTTAAAATTTCAGGTTCATTTTTTTATTTACTTTATGACACACTGAAATATAGTCTGTTATCACTTCTCAGACTTGTGTATATTTTCATGAAAGGATTAATAGGTTGTAACATATTGAAATTGAAGCAATAACCCCATTTTAAATATCTATAATTAATATTATATAAGGTTATTTATATAATATACAGACAGATATAATTATTTTTTATGATATAACAAATTTTATAAATCGAAATTGCAATATTAAACTTTTTAACAATTTTATATAATCTCTTAAATTTTCAAGAAAAAAAATTATTAAATATGTTTATGTGATTGAAAAAAGTGATATGATTACTTTTTTTTATGTTTAAAGCTGGAAGCGCTTCCTATATTATTCATTAAATATATTTATACGAGTTCATTGATTTTTATAGGAGTAAAAAATAGGTATGTGTACTTATATACAAACATTTATGATATCTGCTAGAAACACTTAAGTATGTTTAATTATTTAAAACTTTATTTTAATTTTTTATTATTTTATATTATAATTAAATGTAAAACTAAATTAGATTTTTTGAATTCTGCTTTATTATTTATAATTACATTTTAAATAATGATAATTATTACTGGTTTATGTTGACTTAATACATATATAAACAAAACATACACCATTTTATTATTTATTATTTTAAACCCAGAGACATCTTATTTTGTATAATATGAAAAATAATAAATAAAATGTCATTATTCATATATTCCATTGATCTTGTTATTGAATAAGATATACATTTTTAACAAATTTATTATCCATGAATCATTTAACGAATGTTATATGTATTGATATATTTTAATATACCCTAATCAATATAATGATTGAAGTGATATATCACATTTATTCTAGGAATTTTTTGAAATTATTGCAATAGAGAAGGATTAAAGAAAATCAGATTCATTCTAAATGTTTTGAATTCGACAAAGTTCTTATAAATATTTGGTATATTATGAGATATGTAAAAATAATATGGATATAGGGCTAATAAATGGCTATCTTAAATTAATAACATATCATATAAAAAAATAAAATTAATTCAAATATATGATTCACAGGAACGAATAGATAAAAGGATATTAAATAAAATGAAAAGGGCAATTTTATATATTAATTTATACATAAACTTATAAGAACAATGCTGATTTTATTTGGTACATTGTTCTTCTTGTAACTAGTTCATTTAATACGTTATAAATTAATTATATATAATTTTATATTAATTTTGATATATTTATATATATTATGTTAGTGTAAAATTATTATAACCTTAAATGTAAAATTACATTTTTAGATTATAGTTTTGAAGCGCAAAACTCTCGAATATGTAAGAAATGATAAAAAAAAAAAAAATAAAATAAATAAAAATATTGTCCCCAAATGAAAATGTTAACATCCAAGATTTATAAAATTATTCATTTAGTCCTGATAATTAATGAAGAACACAAGTGAGTATTCGATTCTCCCCTTATTATATTTTATATTAAGCTAAATAATATAACATATATTTTGAACATATTAATGAAATATATTTTAAATAGTAAAAAACATATTATAATAAACAAAATATTATGATATAGAAATATGTTTATGCGCATTAAACTGGTTGATATACATTACGTGATATTGTTGTATATCTATATATTTGAAAAAAAAAATATATATGTTGTTTCTATACATTATTTTGTTAAGCGTGCATAAGAATAGACACACACAGAAATATAATCTAAGTAATAAAAAATTTCGATATAAATTAAAACATAAAATGAAATTGTAATAAATTAAGTAAAAATAAGGAAACAAAAAAATATAGTAATAATAATATGTTATAAATTGTGTACATCCGAACATTAACAAAGCATAAGTGTATTAAGAAATCATATATTCATATAATAAATGTAAGAAGTTATGATATGTTAAGTATAAAATCACATTACATGTATTATAATAATAAGTATAGATCAATATTTATCATTAATATGTATGTATTATATTAGAATTACATCTTCCAGTAATAGTATACAATAAAATAATATGACATATAATGAAATAATTAATATCAAATATATAAGGATATTTATATTAACTGTAATATAAATATGTATATCTATATTATTTTAAATATATAATTGTTATTCTATTTATAACATTTTATTGTTATTATAAAATTAAAAAATCATAAAAGTTGACGTTTAAAAAAACATGAATATGAAGGAATTTATACATAATTTTTTTTTTTGGCTGTTTACGAGCTTATGGAATAATATTTTGAAACGTTATTTAATTTAATTGACAAATTTATATTTTTTTATGCCTATTATACGAACTATTTCACATTTATGTAAAGCTGTTAGTAGAATTCTTCTTCATGTATAAATTTTACAACTTTTTATATGTGGCATAAACGAATTACTTCCTTTCTATTATATTTTTAATTGTAAAATTAAGAAGAATTATATTACATATTATACCTCTTATTTTTTGGAACAATGTTTCATATTTAAGAATTTTGCATTAAATTACATCCTTTATCTGTGTTATTGCGTATTTTTCTTTTCTATTTTATAGCACAGGGAATACATGAACCATAATGGATAAATTAATTGATAATGAAAAAAAAATTTTTAAGTACAAAAATAAATTTATTAAGTTATTTGATTTTAAAATAACTTAGATACGTAAATTTATGGCGTTACTACGTACAAATAATATTTTAATTAACTTTATAAACAATAAATAAAAAAAATTACTCATTATATCTTAATTTTAGACTAAAAAAATAAAATTACAAACATTAAGAAGGTTAATCAATATTTTATAAAGTAATGAAATGTACACATAAGTACCAAATAAAATATATTTTAGCTTGAGTAGTTCTAAAATAATTTAATTTTTTACAAAAAATTAAAAAAATCACATTAATTAAATGCAGTTCTATGTACTGTTTTGTTCTGGATACCATGTTTTAATCTATGTTACATCATAAATACTTCAAAATGTTATAATTCCACAATATGTGAACAAAGAAAATATAATTAATTATAAACTACTAAAATGTATTGGTTAGTTAAAAATTTATTAAATATTTAATGCAAAAACGTTTTAACATTTTTTCAAATTTTCTATTGAATCTATATTTAAGTGTCCAAAGAGCTATATGAAAATTCGATACATGCTTCTTTTACTTTCGATGGCTCTAATAACACTTTCTGTAATTTTTCATTCATATATTTTCTTTTCTTCGTTTTTTTTTTGTTAAAGTATGTTCCCAAAGGGGTTAGCTATATAAAAGTATTTTTTTGTAAAAATATAATTTAATTATCACAAACGAATTAAAAATATATAAATATTATATTTAATGTAGGAAATTTTAGATTACTTTCAAAAGAAATGAGAATAATAAAATAATTGCCAATGGAACTAAAATCATTATAATATATTTTTTATATGGTATTCCTTGGTCATTATCACTAGACGCATCTAATACAAGAATATCTCCAGTATTTCCTGTAACCTCTGTTCCCTCCGTTGCTCCTAAATTATTTTTTCCTTTTTCTGTGCTTACTTCTGAAGAAGTACCGCTTTTATTTTTTCCTGCAATCTCTAATGAAATATAAAGAAGTTTATATCAGAACACTTTTCTACAGTATATAATTTTTTTTTCTCTGGGATATAATCATCATGAAATATATCAGAAGCACCTTTATTAAGAGATAATAATATGTTCGTACGAATATAGCTGTTATTTGAACAGTTTGAATTTGTCGAACCATATGCTCTAATATCATTATGTGCATATATAGAAAAATGCTCTATTAGCTTCTTCATTACCCGCTCCTACATCATCCGTGATTGGTTGATTAGTAGTTTTTGGAAGAGAAATTTTGTTATAGCATGCAGAACCGGTAGATCTATCGGAGAGAGATACACAATCATGTTTTTCTTCATTAACTATGTCAACGGAAACATCTTGTGATTCAGCGGTTTTCCCCCCAATATTTTTACATTTAGGTAAAATATTTTTTGGTATATCTTTATCTACATCATTTGCCTGTATTGTAATACACGAATCATGTACCTGAGTGCCTTCTGTGAATAAAGGTGAAGAACTATCTTTATTAGACAATTGTTTTGTCGACGAAGAATCTGAGACAGATACAAATTCTGTAAGATTTTGCCTTTGCTCGATTGGAACCGATAGATTTTTTTCTGTTGGTTCAGATACATCGACTTCAGTTTCAGAAGATTTAGAAAGAACATCTTCGTTCTCTCGGACTTGTGAACTATGATTTTGTTGATGTGACACTTCTGTTTCCTGTTTTAATTCAGTAGTAGATTCATCACTGTACACGACATCGCTAATGCATGCAGATATATTAGAACAATTTTGAATAATATACTTTACTATTGGTTGTTCGTTTATGAGAAGAGGTATGTAACTATCTTTGTAACAATCATTTAATTCAGCTTGTTTTTTCTTTATAAATTCATTTACTTCTTGACATTTTTTTTCCTGAATTGTACAAATATTATTATTAAAAATATTAGTATATCCTTCAATATCACTTAAATACTCATAATATTTATCTTTGCATTCTGTAATCTTAGAATTTTGGTTATTAGCATTGGTAGTAACTTGTACAAGAGCCATACTCTACCCATTAATTCTTATTATGTCTGTCTATATATTTCCTTTGTTTAAAAAAGTAATATCAGCAAATAAATTATGCGAGTGTATAGGAATTTGTAAAAAAAACATTGTTATTTAAGTGTCATATCATTGCATCATCACTTTTAGGTAAGATCAAATAATAATGCTAAGGAATGTTATAAATTATTGTATTTTAACATATCATCATGATCTTTTAAAAATTAATATGTGATCCCTTTAAACTTATATTATATGAGTGTATAATTATTAATTAAGAGAGCTGTAAAATGATTGAATTTGTTAATATAAGATTTCAAAATTTGTAATAATAATTATTATTGAATTAATACAACAACGTTTCCATATAACATACATAGACTTTAAATATTAAATGATGTTAAACTATTAAGAATCATATATAACTTATGTTCTGTGCTCACAAAAAAATAAAATAATGAATGTTGAATGGGTTCTTTTTAGTAACAAACATAAATGAATTAAAAACTGCTATTTAAGTTGTTGTTTACACATATATGTATATATTTCTTTTATTTTAATCATAATAAAATGCATATAAGTAATTATATATATAATTGCGTTTATAACTATTTTTTGACGTCTTATAGTGTAATCTTTTTCTTATAAAAAGTATTACAACTAAAAAGAAATGCAATTATATTTTAGTGTTAGATAAAAAATTGAATGATTATATATTCGCTACATTCCTATTATTATAATGAATTTTGCATTTAATTATGTTGCATATAACGACAAGGAATAAATAATACGTGGACTATATGTAAGCTTATTTTACTATTATAAAAACAATTTTTAATTAAAATGACAATTTAATACTTAGAACAAATAATAATCCATATGGATTGGAATTTTAACTATATATATTATTCCTATGTACATAGGTATCAGTGAATCCTATCCAGACATCTTCCCTATCACGTATATGACTACTTATTATATATCGGAATATTTTTTTTTTTTCATGGATCATTAATTGTGTTGCGTAACTAAAGTGATTTAATGTAAATGAAGTGAAAGAAAATTTTAACATAGATAAAAAAGAATATAAAAATATTTAAATTAAGTAAAGATTTTTTTGAAAATTACAGAAACATATACGCAGAAATATTTTTTGATATTAATGCTAATATAGTTATCAAAGAAATATTACTTATTTATCATATAGAATTGTTGAGGAATATATTTAAATACATAACAATAAAAAAGTATAATTTGTGTTATATTGTTACAATTATATTAACAATTTTCATGCATTACCTTCATTCTATTAATTAGATTTAAATGGTTACTATTTTCCCCTGGATGAGCAGTATACCGACCTGTTATTTGGAGCACATTAATTTAACCTTTATATTGCATATATAAACCCAATATAGACGGAAATATACATTTAAAATTAATCATATTTTTAACGTTTTATTTCATTGAAATAGAGTATTATGAATTATACACCATTTTTTTGTGAGTTGATGTGGATTAAGATTTTATCTTAGTGCTATTGCGATAGTTAATAATGGGAATAAACTAATGATACATATGAATTAGAAGATTTTGTACTATGTATTGAAATGTTATTAACTTGTATTCATTATTTGTGATCTCATGTACATTATTTATTACTGCAATCTGGTGATTACATTATTTTTTCAGTGGATGTAAAGATAATAACATTATTTCTTATCCTCTTGAACTCAATATTTCATATGAGGTAGCCTTTAAACATAACAACCTTCTTAAATGATAACTGTCATTTTAATATTAATAGGATGTCTGCATAGAGGAGCCATAAGAAATAATGAAGCATATCATTTCTCTTCAAATGGATATAATGTATCATTAATAGTTTACTCTTTTATTTTCCATTTATATATACATTACATATTTATAGAAATATAGTCATTGCTTTTATATTTGTTGTTCTTATAAATTATATTTAAGCTATCGTGTGTTTCCCACTAATTCAATTGAGGTTTTTTTTAATTTTATAAATGTTTGTTTAAGCATTTTATATGTCATTAGTGTAAAATATATGTATTTATGTATTTCAAGATTTTGTGGCTTCCCTGGAAATTACACATATTGTTAGTCATTCTGCATTTACTTTAGCTTAAAGTGATCAATTTATCTCATATAATTTTAAAAGTACTTATTTAAAATAAAGTATTTTAATTTAAAAAATGTTCAATTGTTGCTTAATATGTCGTAGCATAATGATTTTTCACACACGTCGAAAGAACTTAAAATTTTAATACTGTAGTTATAAAGTATTTTCTTATAACTAATAATACAAAAAACAATTTTATAAGTTGTATTATACTACTGGAAACATATTAATTGTTATAATACAATTTTCAGAATAATTTGGCATTGCACATTTTTTTCTTCTTAAAACTTGTCGTGAACTCACCCTTAAGTGCCATGCATCTGACACTGAGAAAATATCCCAGTGTTGTAATATGTGAATTAAAGTTCTTATTCAAAATAATTTCAATGAATTAATGTTCATCATTTCGTTGTTTTAATAGTTATTTGCAAAACAGGTATATTAATACATGCTGATAAAAAAAAATTAAGCGAAGTCGCGGTAGAAGTTATAAGAATATATATATAAATGTGCTTATACTGTTAGGAGAGTGTTTGAAAAAGATTATGCTCTTCAATGTTGAGGAAATAGTTTATTCTTATATTAGGAACGTAAATATGCTTCACATTATAAATGTAACACAACAAAAATGGAATATTACTTCAAATTATTCATATACAATGACACACAGTGCAGAAATTAGCATTTCATTGTCCATAAGCTTTAATTATGACAGTGATTATTTCAAAACACGCTTTTAACAGCGTACTAATTTATAATTTTATGACACTAAAATATGTAAAATGTTTTATCATTGTTACACATTGTTTGACAAAAAGAATAATTGAAAATCCTCAATTTATGAGAAATTTTAACAACAAATGCAAGAATTTACTACTTTTATTTTTTAAAAAAAAATAATATTAGCACCTTTGGGATTTTTTGAAAATGAAAGAATTAAAAAATAAAATATAAGGTGTGTTTGTAAAAAATCCAGCAGGTTAAATGCTCTTTCTTCTGATGCCTGTGAGATTCTGCGCCACTGTGCTTTGTGAATTACATTTTTGGAAAACATAAAGGTGCTTTACAATCACATCTTTATGTTTGTTAGCCTCATAAAATGTCCCTTTTTTTCAAGATGGATTTGTAACAAAAGTTTATTTTGTATGCATATAAAAAAATATTAATCTATATATGCTTGCTTATCGTATATTAAAAAATAAATATAACTACATAAAAAATTGTTTTTAGGTGTATCAAATTTTAAATATAGATTTCCCAAGCTTTATCATGAAACTTTACAAAATTGAGTATTGGGACACATACATAATTTATATGATTTTGTGACAAATATGTTTTTTACACAATTTAAGAAATTAATATACCAAATAGCATGTTTATTAATTTGTGTCAGATTACTTTGTTTTATTCATATTAAAAATATTTAATATGAGTATTTAAAAAAAATGCAAAAAAAATAATGATTAACCTTAATAACTTGTGGATAGGGTAATATATGTAATAAGAACTAACCTTTTATAGAGAAGAACCAAGACATCATTTATCCATTGAGTATTCAATTGTTATTATTACAATATTTGCTTTCTATAGGTAATATGTGAAAAGAAATATCCACTATACAGTAATATAAAGACGTTACTATTCGTTAAGTACGTAAATAACATTGATTTTATATAATAAGTATTATTAATAGAGTTGTATGGAAATTTATGAAATTGATATTTTGCAGAGCACTAAATTCCGGTATAGATTTATGAACAATTTAAATTTTTCATTTCTTATGGGAGTAATAGCACAATAGAAGAGTTTGAACTGAATTAAAAGTATGCTATAACTTATATTTAATTTTTTATCTTTTTACCATTAATTTTAGCTGATAAATACTAAATCAGCTAGGTTCGTGACATCTTATTTTCATGTGTAAATAAACATGTCTATAAAACAAATTTTTCACCAATTTAACGCATATTAACATGGGATGACCGTTTGAGGAAGGAAAAATTGGGTATATTTACATTTTTATTATATAAATAATTCCCTATTTGAACATGCTACATGATTTAAAGAGAAATAAACTATTTTTTTCTTTAAATGATGAATATATAAGTATAATATCATTCTTCTGTTCTGCAAAATTATTAAGAAAAAAAATTTAAGAATTACCTTCATATCAATGATATAGTGATATAAATATTGAATAGTTTTTAAATGATGCAAAAGGCTACTGTAATGAATAAGGAAAGGGTTGTACTAAGGTTAAGCACTACGTAAAAAGGTAGCTAATTTTTTAGTACACTGTCTATAAAATCAAAGAATGTAGGCAAAGTACACTGCTATTACATGCAACATTGCTTCATTGGTTACTGAAGAAAAATGTTTTGCATAGGAAAAATTTAATAAACTAGATATTCTTAATTTTCGGATTTAGCACAAAAAATTAATTCACAATACAAAAATGACTTTTCTTGCAATTGCATCTTTCCACGCACCCTAATGGATTTGAATGAAAAGAAAGATTTACATGATTAATTTTAAAATTATAGTTACATTGATAGCATTATTAAAAGTATAAATAAATGTACACATCTTTTAGAATATGTAATATATGTTATGGATGTAAATGAAAGGAGGGTTTCACATGTTGTGATGACGGAGAATACGGATTCTGTTATTGTGCTGCTTTTTATATTATACGTGATGAAGATTTGCATTAAAATAAATTATTAAATAAATTAAAAGAAGGTTTTAAATGAAAAAAAAAAAAAAAAAAAGTGTACATCTAATTAATAAGACACATTAAAATGTTTTGAAAACATTTTCAGAAAGACGTAAAAGTAAATAGTAAAGATTGCATCAAATATATGCATGTTCCCACATATTAAGTAAAACAAATCAATTAGTCATATATCTGCTATTAAAAATAATGAAGCAATGACAGCTTTTAAACTTATATCATTTTCTCATTTTCATCGTATATACTTGAATAAAGTGTGATTTTTTTTTTTTTTTAAAATAGTTCATAGTCAATAAAAAATTCAGCATAGGCATATTAATCTTTTATACTATTTTTTACTCTCTAACTTGTTAATATTTATAGTTCTCAAATGATTATGTATCATATATGCTTTTGTATGGTAATCCAGAGCGAATACCTTACAGCTTTATAATAGCGGATTAATGTGCAAAAAATAGAGTAAACGTAATTTTGTTAAATTGGGGTGTTAATTATCTTGGCATAAGCTAGAATCAACATACACAAATCATCAAAAAAGGAGATTATTATCATACCTATTTATCTGACAACTTGTTTGCTATTTATTGATGTAACATGTAAACACTTCGCAATGCCTCATCTGGAGTAAGAAGTGATGCAATAGTATGGGCAATTATTTTAAATAAGAATTAGAAAAAATGAAAAATTGTTTAATGGGCAGTATATATATCATCAGATTTAATCCTTTGAAATAAAAAAATAAATATGCAAAGTTGTAGATACTATATTTAACATAGGACATATAAGAAATCGTGAGAATAAAATTAGATAAAAAATATAAAAAAAAATTGAAACCCTTATTTTACTTGTAATTATAGAAAAGCATTGAATGTCAGAAAAAATAGTTAACGTGAAAATAGTTACAAAATGCATATTTATACTGAAAATTAATGAGTCTTCACTCACTAATTTACAAGAACTGTAGAGCAAACATTAGTCAATTCATCAATTGTCTTATTCTTAAATTTGATAGAGGTTATATCAAAATGTCCTTGCCAAAAGGAACATATAATTGTTTGTTATAGAATGAATTAAAAGGGAAATAAAAATATATATTAAAAAAATGGTATTGATTATTTAAATCTAGAAAAATAAAACGTTATTCGTGGGAATGAACTATAAAATAAGCACATTAGCAGGAAATATTTTTTAAAGAAAATGTTATAAATATCATTATTGTATTTAATACAAAGTATTTTATATTTTCTATTTATTTTATTGTAAAATGTATGTTACAAATTTATTATCATAATTAAAATCTTTCTTTTTTCATTTTCTTTTTTTTGTTTTATCACTTATAACACTACTAATTTTTCTACAAGGTAACTTTTTTTTATTTTATTGTTCATTTCCTTTTTTCGGATTCACTTACACTATTATTAATTGTTTCATCCTATTTTTTTTTTTCCCCTAATTTGAGAACTCTTATTTGTTTTTTCAGGTTTCCCTTTAGTTAATATTTTTTTTCATTAAGGACTTTGAATTACACAAATAAGTGTGAATAGATGTATTGAAAATGTATAATATATGGATGATGTGCTATATCTATGACAATATTAAATAGAATTTGTAACATTGTGAGAATCGTTCACACTCATTTGCGTATCAAGTGTGCACGTCAATTAATTATTTACTAAGCATGTTATCATATTCCTGCATCGGTATTTGTGCATTTCTTTCCTATTCATTTTTATTCTTTTTCCATATTTTGAACTAATTTTTTCCACAATAGGGGTAATTTAGAACACAGTGCATTTAAATCATTATTGTTTTTATATGGTACTTTTTCTCGAAAACAAAATTTTTTATGTGGTTCTTCCTCAGATATTTACTCCATTATTCGTCCTACTGGTTGTTATAATAAATATTGAGGCACATTTTTTTTTAAGCATTGGACTATTTTCAAGTGTGCAAAACAACGAAAAAGATTATTATGTTTTTTATTTTTTTATCATCAATTTTAGTCATAGAGATATAAATTCTTTATGTGATCATAACACATGCGCGAATTAATGATGACCACAAAACATGAACACATTTGAATACAGATTATAATTCTAAATTAAATGCACTAAGATCACAAAATAAAATTTAAATAAAATAAATCTTATTTTAGATCGAAGAAATAATTATACTTTCATATTAATACAATTAAAATTATAACATTTAGAACATGAATTTTCATGTTTAAGTTTATATGTTTATGCTTGGATGTAAATGTCGAAAGTACAGACTCATGGTTAGAATTATTTTTAAATAATGACAGGTAAAATATAAAATTGGGTATAATACCTCAACTTTTACCCTATTAAATGCAACATTTAGGATGATTATTTTTAGCATGAATTTTTAGAAGGAATAACTTCAACGTTGCTATGGTTTGTTTATTTGTAGTAAAAATAAGCGTCTTCTTATTAAATTTGAAGCAGTGTTTATTCAATTGTAATTATAAATTTTAAAAAATTTCAAAACAACTGTTTTTAAGAAAAGAATAATTTATAACAATAGAAAATGTGAAAAAAACTTGTTTTCTGTACATATTTAAGAGACGAAATTTTGAATAAACTTTTTTTTTTTTTTAAATTTATACATATATACATCGCTTTATACATTTACTTAGGTAAGAAAAATTAATGTCAACATGATAATTTATTTAGATTAATAAACTAATAATTAAAAAAAAAATATATAATTTAGTTTTTTTTAAATTCTCGCTTTTTTTAAATTTTCTATTTTATTGTTTACATTATGTTTTGAAGGTTTATTAAAAGTACAACCATCTATATGATTTTATGATTTGGTAGATATTTTGACAATAGGTTTTTTTTTTCAAAGTATTTAAATTTATTATATAATTTTTTTCTTTTTTTTTTTAAAGTATGTAGTTGACTTTTGTACATATATTTACTATTAATGCATTTAATGTATTAGTAGTAAATATATGTATAAAAAATAATTTTTTTTTTAGTAAATCATCTTTATTATATTTGTTATTTTTTATGATTTGTTTTTTCGTTTGTAATAATAAGCTATTTTTTTTGTTGTTTTATTATATTTATGAATTATTTTCATAATTATAAGCACAATGCTACATGATCCAGAATGTGGTCCAGAGCATTTTGTAAAATCTCAAAGGCTTGATGGAAGACCGCAGCTTGGAGCATTTAAGAATAAACATGGGGTATCATTATCTACGTATGGATGGCTAGTAAAAAACGCAATAGGCATTATTATATTAATTCATGGCTTAAATTCACATGTTAGGTTTTCCTTTTTGAGACACAACGTTGATATAGTGGGTACTGATAAGGCTATATTAAAAGATGGTGTGAATTATTATGTTTACAAGGACAGTTGGGTAGAACGTTTCAATAAAAGTGGATATTCAGTATATGGAATAGACTTACAGGGGCATGGGAAATCTGGTGGCTGGGGACATCTGAGGGCTAATATAAGGCATTTTGATGACATGGTACACGATGTGTTAGATTATATTATGAAAATTCAAGAAAATTTCTGTGGAAGTGAAAAATCAAATAACATATTATGTTGTGATGATTTAAAAGGAAGTAAAAAATCTATTCCTGTTTACATAATTGGTCAATCCATGGGAGGAAATATTGCATTAAGGACACTACAATTGATAGGAAAAATGGGAGAATATAACGAAAAAAAATTAAATATAAAAGGGTGTATATCTTTATCTGGGATGATTTCTATTGAAAGATTAGTTGCATCACCACGTTCATATAAGTATAAATACATTTATTTGCCTATTATAAGATTATTTTCTTATTGTTTTCCAAGATTTAGAATTGTAAATAACATGCGTTATATAAAGTATAAATTTATGAATGATCTTTTTAAGTACGATAAAATGAGGTATAATAAAGGAATAACAAGTAGATTTGCATGTGAGTTGCTAAAAGCAATGGGTAACTTAGATAGAGATATGCAATATATTCCTGAGGACATTCCTATTCTATTTATTCATTCCAAGGATGATACTTTGTGTTATTATAGGGGTGTTGTATCTTTTTTCAAGAGACTAAAAAATGATAATAAAGAGCTGCTTATTCTAGAAAATATGGAGCATATGCTAACTGTGGAACCGGGAAATGAAACGGTTTTAAGTAAAATCATGAATTGGCTTTCAAAATTAACAAGCGAAATAAAGAACGCCAATTTAAATAAAAAATGATATCTCATTTTTTATAAGTGTATTTTTAGTGTCATTTTTTTTATAATAAAAAAATAAAACAATATAGTAAATAACCTCTGGTTATGTTCTTACATGTCTGTAAACCTCTATATGCAGAAATATGGAGGGACATGATTTGTAGTATGTATATAATTATATTGTTTTTATTTTAATTTTTTTTTTTTTTTTTTTTTTTTTATCTTTGATTAACTATTTTATTAAATTAAGATATTTGATAAAATTGTATATATATATTCTTATATTCCTCATAATTAGATATATGATGATATAAGTGTAGGGTTTGTGTTTAGGCCTTAATTCACATTTTGAGAAATTAATGAATTTTTTTTACAACATCCTTACAGGTTTTGTGTTTTGTTTTTATATCTTAGGCCCTTGTTGATTATCATGCTTTACAATTATATTAGAAAAATTGATAGAATAATATTAATATTTATTTATCATTTATGTGCATTCAATAAAATATGGACATGTTATGTAAATGATATTATATACATAATATTATTAATGATATGTATGCATATCTCAATATCAGTTAATAATATACATTTCTGTTTTTCATTTGAAAGTATATTATTAATAGATTTATTCTGTGATAAAAGCTTATTATGTTATAACTCTGGTTATAACGTTTTTTTACACATATATGTGTAATTAATATCCTATAATATTCTTTATATACACTATTCGCATACTACTGTTTTGTTTATTTAAGTATCATTATTTCTTCTACCATATCTTATAAACCTTTAATAAAACTACAACGGTATATTAAATAAATATTATATTACAGATAATGATGAATTTACGCACACTTTTGATTGAGGAACACACTATCCATAAATTTGTTTTACACAGTGTGACATACATATCTATTTTTTCTATTATTCGGTTTTTAATACATTTAAAATTACATTTTTCCAACATTATCAATAAGCTAAAATGTACGTAAAATAAAATAAATTAACAGTAGCTGTTCCATTACATAAGTAAAAAAGAAGACATATATTCAAACGTTCTTTATCGAAATATAATCAATAATAATTTTTATGGCGTCAACGAATGATTTTCTTGAATAATGATATAATACGAAACGGTGAAAATGAAATAATAAATAAGTATATCATATAAAAAGGCTCTAACAATTTAGTATAATATGCATTTAACTTATGTAAAAATTGTTTTCTTTAAGGAAAAAATTTGTCATTAATAAATTTTAAAAAAATTATTAGGCATGTTGTTACATATATTAATAAAAATTGACTTTCTAGTTACGTTATTATTATACAAATTTTAAATTATTTTTATTTTACAATACATAACACGTTATGATATAATAATTTACACATTTATTATAGAAAATTTGCACTTTATATTAGGTATGTACTTAGTAATTCTTAAATGTTGTGTACATTATAACCGTAAAATATGAGGAAATTATTTTTCTGTTGATTATTATAATTCTTCTTGTTATGAATTTGTTAAACTAATAAAATTCTAAAGGATCTTAATTAATTTACATTAATAGAAATTTTAACGTGTGAAAAAGGTAAAAAGACATAAAGGAAAACTTTATTGCTTTTTGATAAATAGCGTTAACACATAATACAATAAATTTAATGAAATAATATGCTAATTTTTATATTATTTAGAGAATTAATATTTATAAAAAAAAAAATAATACAATAAACCAAAACTATATATTAACTATGAACATAATAGGAATGGTCTATGTAACTATGATAATTAGATGTATCTTTAGTGGAATATATTACAGACACAAGATCTAGCTTTTTTACTTAAGTGCATCTATTAAAGGATGACAATAACATATGTTTTATAATTGGTGAGTATATCAATTGCAGAAAGTGTTAACAGGTAGTGGGATACAGTCATATATTAAAAAAGCAATCACTATAAAATAATAGAATCATTGAAGCATTAAAATGAGATATAAATTAAATTAAGAAAAAAACAGAAGTAATAAAACTTCAGGAACATTAATGAATGAATAGAATGATGATGGAAGGTTTTAACTTGTGATCCACAAAATATGTTTGGAGATAAAAATATTTAAGGAATTATGCATATGAAATTCTTCTGAAGTCACATGAAGGTGGGTAAGATGAAATGTGTGACAAATGGCGTAATTCTATTTATCAAATGGGTTTTTTGTTACCTTAAGCTTAAACATTTTCTGAGAAGTATATAATTATTTGTAAATATAAGCATACATGCATGAGAGGAAAAGAAGACAGATAAAATTAAAGTGCATTCGAAAGTAGTTTTACCATTTAACAATTATTTTTTCGATATATAAAGTTGAATATTATTATACATTGTAATTTCTTACAGTAGCACTATGGAGAAGATCATATTGATGCAAAATAAAACATTAATTTTTGGATCATCAAATAAAGAAAATAGTGCATAACAAACGCGATGGACATAACATAGAAATCATATTGTTTTCAAATAGCATAAAAAAAAACTTTTGTTTTAGAGATTAATTTTAAGTTTACCTAATAATTTCAGAAAAATATATAATAATGGTAATATAGACATTTCTCATCTTTCAAGTACTATATATAGAAATAAATTAATAACTATATTAGCAAGCGATAATAATACATAATAGGGTATAAGATTTTTTTTTTTTTCTTAAATAACTTTATACCCTTAGTCAGATTTAAAATGAATTGCAATAACAATCCTCAAGTTTATCCTAAATTTAAGCACGTGCATAACTGTATTTGTGAAATGATTTTAAAAGTTAGTATATAATATTTTGACATTTTGAAAAGCAAGAATTAAAGAATTATGCAATTTGGATGATAATGAAATACACAAGTATTGAATAAAAATTCTTAGAGAGTGTTTATTAAAAAATACAAAAATTTAATTATTATTCATTACTATTTAATAAAGCGTTCTTAAATAAACACCATGATATGAGATAACGTATGCTAAAAGTATATTTGATATATGTGTTATGAGTATGAGAATTAGTGTTTTAAATAAATAGATAAGAATTCTTCTTATTAAAAAGAAAATTTTAATAAAATTATAAGATTGTTGGGATAAAAAAAGCATAAATAATGTCTTGAAATATTGTCATTAATTTATAGATATAACATACTATTTTATTAAACAGTTCAATTTATAGTTATATTTTCATTACTAGAACATTCTATATTTATTGTGGACAAATTAAACTGGATTTTTATATTAAATGCGCAAATTTCCAATAGTATTTTTACCAATTCTTTGTATATGATATTAGTTTTATATGTATTTAACTTCTTAAAAACATTTGTTGCTTTTTGCACAATGTTATAAAACTCAATGGGATTCACGCATAACTTACCAAATAATTAATAAAAAGAATACATTTTATTTATGAGATAATTTAAAACGATTTAATGAATTCAAACGGTTATAGATCTAATAAAAGAACAAACGAAAGCCCTTAAAACAGTGCAAATTATTTTTTTAGCATATTTAATAAATATATATGTGGAAGCCATGATTAACTTAAGATCTACTGGAAAAAAATTGTTTACAGATGTAAATTATATATGTAATAAATAAACATTTATAAATAATTGAACAGAAAATTTTATATAAGAGAATTTCGCAAAATATCTATGAAATGTTCACTCTACAAAAGAGATAATGTGAAGTGCGTTATTATAGTCATGTTATTAGGAATAATTGTAAACATAATGTTGTAATTATGTAGAATAATATATTTTATTAACATTTTTAACAATATTCATTTAACTGAATATTAAATATTGATTGATCAGACAATATCTGATTTATATTTTAATATAAGAAAACATAAATCTATTACAATGAGAATCTTTAAAACCCTTAATTAAATAAAAGAGAATAATTTTATAATAATTTAGACAAAAAAATATTTTTGAATACATCTCTTTTATTAGAGGGTTAAATGAAATCAATTTATGGTAATAGGTTTGGTGTATAATATTAAACTACAATGAATGAATATATTTTTTTAATGCATTTTATTTTTAATAAAATGATTTTTTTTTTGTTTTGTTTTGTTTAATTATCTGAGAATTAAAATATATACATGTTAAAAGGAATACAATTATTGTTTAATATGTTACACAATAATTTAATACATCATACTTAATCCTTAAAGCAAGAACATACATAGGTAAAAAATTTTACAACAATGTTTTCTTTATAAATATTAATATATCTTTTTTTAAAGTTAATTATTATATGTATGAAAAATTACACAAAAGATAATTATTTATGTAAAATTATTAATTGTTCTCTTTATATAAGCTACTAACGGATACTAATATATACCCAACTTAATAGCAATACAATTTTTACTATGGATAACACACCTATACTTTCCAATATAAGGAATATGAAAAGTAATATATTTCTGATTGATTGTGAGACCTCAAACTGAGGGATTCATTGAAAAACATAATTTTCCATAATAGGGATAAGACTTGGAAATAAGAGTAGAAATAATATGCTACGTAGATGTTCGTATATTACTACAATATGCAATATTATCCGTTGATTTATATTATGAGTAAAATGAAAATCAACATAATCTTTGAGCTATCTATGTCACTGCTCTTATGGAGATAGGTCCCCATATCTGTGCATTATTAACTAAAGTAATATATTAGAGAATAATACAAATATTTATAACCTAGAAAATTTTTATATCTTATATCCACACAATGATATTAATAATAATACAGTATATTTATTGTAATAACACTCATTAATTGAACAGCATATACCATTTGGAGTATAGATAAATTAAAAAATTATAACTTAAAATTAACTATATATAATATATGGAAGCTGATAATTTGAAGACTAATTAATGAATAATTTGTATTAACTACAAATATGTATTTGGAAATATGAATATAATGTATAAAAAAATATTCACCACATTTTTGAGCCACTTATGA